CTCTTATGGTAGTGAAGTGTTACAATCACCAAATCAAATCATTTAAAAGCAATTTTTAAAGATCTTTAAAAAAAAAAAAGAAAAAAGTTACCTTAAATATGAAAAATGGCTACCTTTTAATACGTTTGATATGCTGTAGGGAAGCCTTCAAAAGTAAGCAGGGAGGGGGCTGGCAAATGTTATAAAATATCCCTGGGCAGAGGGTGGGTATAGAATGGATGAGCAGCACTTTGAGGAATATTCAGCAAGCTTTTAAAATGTGCATTTGAAATGCATAGTACTAAGTGAAGAAGCCAGACTCAAAAGGCTACTTACTAAGTAATTCCATTTCTGTGACATTCTGGGAAAGGCAAAATGTAAGATGGAAAACGCATCTGTGGTCACCAGGGATTCGGCATGGCCAGGACAGGGTGGGGGGCTTGATAACAGGAGGAAATTTGGGGGTTGATGGAACTGTCTGTATCCTAAATATGGCGATGGTGATGTGAGACTCAGTGCCTTTGTCAAAACTGTACAGCCCCCCAAAAGAGTACATTTTCCTGTATGTGAATTAAAAAATAAAATTTAAAAACAACAATAATGCGCAGGGGCCCAACACAGTCCCACTTGAACTTCACTCTCAGATGAGCGGGAGCGTTTTCTGCCCACCATTGGATCTTTTACTGATGTCATCAGGGCTGATGGTCTTTGGTTATAACCACTGGTGATGGCAAGCAGTGGTCCTTCACCCACCAACTGAACACCCACTTCCAAGGCAGTCTTCCGTCTTTGCTCTGAGCTAAAGGGTGATTCTTCAGGCACAACTACTCCCCTCATTACTATGCCTTCCCACCCTGATCAGCAAGGAGGAGTAAGGCATAAACTCTGCCTTGCCAGTGTGTGGCAAGTCCCTTGTGTCTCTCAGAGGCCAGTGTTCAGAGTTTCTGGGCTTTGACATGAGCATACATTGTCCACTGGGTTCTGGTGTCTGACCAGAGCCTCTGCACACTGAAAAGGATGCTTACAATTACTGGTGTTTCTAATATCTTAATAATTAAAGCTGTACAGTTAAAATCTACTTTGTGTTCCTAAGATTGATTTCCAAATCTTGTTCTAACTACCAACTAGTTGGTTTTATATATAAACACTTTTGCTTATTCCTTGATTGATGCTCAATCAACTCAAAACATAATGGGTTAAACTGTAAATATTGCTTGTACAGTTAATCTAGTTCTCTTAGACATTTCAAAGTCAACCATATATTTAATCTGTTTGATTTCTACAAATATTTCCAATAGCCAAAAGGAAAGACCTACAATCGGATGAAGTCTTCCTAAGCATTCAAATGCAAACATACTTAAACTCATAGATTTAATAAGTGAAAATCTTTAAACAATAATTGTTTATAAACTTAGTGTCTTCAACATTTTTAAATTAAAATCACAGATTTAATTTCACATTCCTTTAAGAATTTCAAATGAAATTCAAAGTATCCGATTCTCCAATACATTAAGTTATCTTAAATAACGAAATGTCACAATAATCGGAAGCTTACTCCTCACGTTGACATGGATTACTGATATCATGGGTTTGACGTACTTGTATTCATCTCTGTGTGGGTTGACATCCTACCAAGGTAACCTATCTAAACTCAGGACTGTGATACATCCATGGTCCGAGATTCTGGGATGGTCAAGTACTGGTTGCTTCTTCTACAATGGTTTTACCCAAATTTCAGGTCAACAAACTAAACCCCTTGCAGTAGTAATGAGGTTTTCAAGACCACCCCTATCTTGTACCTCATTTGATGATAGTTAGAATAATGTTAACCTCTTCTGAAACTCTTAATGGCCTGATTTGCATCATTTGAGCTTCCTCACTCACTACCCAGATTGGAATCCCTTTACTGTCTCAGTAAATTCTGCTTCCTTTCTATTTATTACTTTTTTAACTGACTCATCCACCCCATTCTGATTATAGGAATCATTGAAGAAAGCAACTCATTAGCAAGATTTTTTCTTGTGTTTTGTCATTAAATGACTTCATGTTGATGAAGGGAAAGCAGTCTTAAAGAATTACAGTGTTTATTTTTTTAATTTTATTTATTTATTTGACAGGCAGAGGTTACAAGTAGACAGAGAGGCAGGCAGAGAGAGAGGAAGGGAAACAGGCTCCCGGCTGAGCAGAGAGCCCAATGTGGGGCTCGATCCCAGGATCCTGGGATCATAACCTGAGCCAAAGGCAGAGGCTTTAACCCCCTGAGCCACCCAGGCACCCCAAGAATTATAGTGTTTAATGCATTTTTCTGTGAGCGGCATTTTTAGGTTAATTTGGTCAATGTTAACTTTGAAACAAAAGTAAATGTCAAGAGATGAGCATTTGGCTCTACTCTACTCGTCCATCCATCCAGTCAATCATCGTGTGCCTGCCATGATGTGTAGGTGCTGAGACACATGCGCAGAAGAAGACACAGTCTGCACCTGAAAAGTTTGCACACCAAAATTAAGCCTACAATGGAGCCAACTCACTAATTTATGTTTTCCAAACCTTTGAACAAATCATCTTTACTGTAGCCAAAGCCATAATCACAATCAACTTTGAATCCCAACATAAGAAACAACTGAACATAGTTAAGGCAGACGCTTACTGAGAATGGGTAGTTAGGAGAAGCAAACATTCATTTTCTCCATCAGCTCACTCATTGATTGGCTCTCTGTTCAAGGCACTTGGGCCCACACTCGCTCAAGGTGTTCCATGTTAGTTAAGAACGCACTGTTACTGAGAGGAATGTGAGCAGGCAAATGGGATAGGCGAGCCCCAATTCAGAGTGGAAGGAGATTTCTACTGGCTGGCTGGTGTGGAGCTACTGAGGCCAGGAGAGACAGAGCCTGTGCTGGGCCTGCAATGACCAGGACCACAGGTCCATGACTCTGATTCACTGATTCAACACATATTTACTGCATTCCCACTTTATGCAAGCACTTGGATTGGGTACTGGGAAGACAACTATAAGCAAGACAGACCAAATTCTTTCTCCCAGAAGATCAAAATCAGGGGAAGGGAGATAACAGTAAGTAATATAGATGATGAAGTGATGATAAATTCTATAAAAAAAATAAAGTGGGGTAGGGGACAAATAGTTGGGGTGGGAGTGGTGCCATTCCAGGTTGATTGTCAAAGAAGTCCTCTCTGATGAGGTATATAGTGAGTTGGATAGTGTCCCCTCAAAATTCATGTCCACCCAGAACATAGAAACGGGCATTTATTTGGAAAGAGGGACTTGGTGGATGCATTCTCAAGATAATGTTCTACTGGATTCAAAGTGGACACTAAGTCCAGTGACTGGTGTGCTCATAAGAGGAGAGGACACAGAGGAAGTTTATGTCAAGATGGTGGAGAGAGGGTGCCTGGGTGGCACAGTGGGTTAAGCCTCTGCCTTCAGCTCAGGTCATGATCTCAGGGTCCTGGGATCGAGCCCCGCATCTGGCTCTCTGCTTAGCAGGAGCCTGCTTCCCCCTCTGTCTCTGCCTGCCTCTCTGCCTACTTGTGATCTCTCTCTCTCTCTGTGTCAAATAAATAAGTAAAATCTTTAAAAAAAAAAAAAAAAGATGGTGGAGAGATTGGAGTGAGGATGCCATAAGCCAAGGAACATCTAGGGCCATCAGAAGATGGAAGAGGCAAAGCAGGATCCCTGAACATTTTAATAACGAGGGATAAATTGTTCACTGGCCTAAAGTGAACAAGTCATCCAAAATAAATCATCCAAAAATAAGTTTCATATAAAAAAAAATTGACTTTCTACTCTAATAAGATCCATATATTCCACCCCCCATCCCCCACCCCACACCATGTCTGGAAATTCTGGTTAGATTGTTCACAGGGTTGCTGTGAGGATTAAATGATCTAGTGAAGGCTAAAGCTCTTCTACTAAAGTATAGTGCCTGACACCTAATAAATGCTCAACTGATCTTAGCTATTTGTAGCGGTTTTGATGAGGATGTTAACAGCAAACTCCTTTTCTGGCAGCCACAATACCCAGCACAGGCCTGGGCACACAGTATAATATTGAGGAGATGCTCAGGAGCGATTGGTCTCCAACATTCGCGATTTCTTCCACACGTGAAATATCAGAGCTTATTTTATGTCTTTTTAAACCTGTTCTAAATATTAATTGATTTAAAACAGCTATTGATTCAACTCAACCAACTCAACTTTATTTTGTTTAATTTTATTAATTTCTGCTTTTATCTTAATGCTCGGGCTTTTGGTATGCTAGTGCATTGAAAGTAATACATTTTCTGAGAGCACTGGTTTGCATCCCACGAGATAACGTGGTGTATTCGTAGCGACTCCCTTGATAATTAAGCAATGATGCGTATAAGGCGCTTAGCACAGTGAGTACACAATAAGGGTCGGCTGCTTTAATATTATCCTGCACTTGGCCAACATCTATTTGACATTCTCAGGACACCAGGTAAGCAATTGCTTAGCCACGCTACCTTCCGCGCCTTCCTCCACTTTTCTTTTGCCCTTGTAACTCCTCCCAGTCCCCCAGGGGGCGGGGCCAGGTCTTCACACCCCCGACCCTACCCCGCCACGTTTCCTTGACACCGGGTTCGCGTACTACACATTCCACAATCCTCTATCTCCTTCCGCCTTCTAAAAGCAACTCTGAGGGACTACGAAGGAAAAATAGTTCCCTGACAACCGAGTTCTTTCCACAAGGAGGCGGAACTGGGGCGGGACTTAAGAGCGGAAGGAAGTTCGTGATTCTTGTGGCAGGATTGGGCTCCTCGCGCTCAGGGGGCGGGTCAAACAGGCGGAGGGATCCATGTTACGCGGCACACGGCCCGTCGCCTCCATTTAAGGCGGGAGGAGCGGCGCGGGCGGCAGTTGCTGTGGTTTCCGAATTGAGGTTGCGTATGTTTTGTGAGAGCTGAAACTCGAGGACTTAGAGTCTGGCTCCCAAGTTTAGCCGCGGGTAAGTGTAGATCAGGCGGCCAGGAGCGCAGCTTCGCAGCTTCTCATCTTCGAACCAGGACCGGCCCCTGCTTTCCCTTAGCCACTTGGTGCTCGTATCGAGGTCGGCTCCGGGGCGGCTGGGAAGGCCTCGGGCGAGATGTTCAAAAACACATTCCAGAGCGGCTTCCTCTCCATCCTCTACAGCATTGGCAGCAAACCCCTGCAGATCTGGGACAAAAAGGTTAGGAGCCGGGAGGCGGTGGCAGGGCGGGGTGCAGGGGCCGCGCCCCCTCCTCCGGGGGTTGGGGACGGGGTGGCGGGTAGTTTGTGCCAAGTTGGAGCTCCGGGGAGGCCAGGCGGGCGCTGCTGTGACCTGTCCCCAGGCTGGTGTGACAGAGGCGCGAGGTATGGACGTCTTGTCAGCAAAGGGGTAGGGGTTGCGTGTAGGGTGAGCGTGGCTGGTGTTTAAGTGTCCTGCGGCAGTGGTGTGGTTGGGGCAGTGGTCCCTCGCCACCGTCTTGACTTGGTCAGTCAATTCCTCAGAGCTTCGGTTTCCCCATTCATAGAATGCCCATATCCTAGCGTGAAATGCATAAACTTAACTGAGGTTGCTTTGGGAACATAGAGATGAAAGAAGCTGCTGTTCACTGATTTCACAAATATTTACTGATAGCCTGTTTTGTGCCAGGCACTGTGCTGGGCACAAGACACAGAGTCTTTGTTCCAGGCATCCTCACAGGGACAAAGCCAGAAGGCAGTTGTGTTTGGATTTGATTCATTCGCTCCTTTCCTTCCAGTGATCTCAAACAAGGTAGAAGTCGGTGCCCTTTGGCACCTGCTCCACATTCGTTGCTACTTGGGGTCTGTGCTGTGCCTTCCGTGCTTGGTGTCTGCCTCAGGAAAATTGCAGAATGGTGATAAAGTTTTGTTTGGAGTAATAAGCTCAGAGCCACGTACCAGCCTCACTATTTTTATTGAGGTATCCACCGGATAACACTTTCACTGAGCCCAGGAGATGATGACCCTGCCCTTCGTCTCCTTTTTGGAGGTATTGAGTAGGGGACATGTGTGTCTAGCATGCTGTGAGTTGGTCTGCATTTTATGACTTCGTTATTTCATTTCTCATGCATGTTCTCTGTCAGCTGTACCCTCCCCCCCTCCTTTTTAAGTTAAGACAAGTACTCTATTGTGAAAGGCAGGTGATTCCTCAGGGGACAACAGAAAGAAGTGGTATGTTGAATGGTGTTTTTATAGAGATGGATGTGGAATCATCTACATAAGCAGTTTATCGGTAATGAAGTCAAGAATCTTGGATTTCATCTCCGAACAAATCTTTGTCTTCCCATATCCCCAGATAAGCATTTTGGGCCACCTAGAGATTGAGAGAGAACACAGATAGCCTTTTGCCTGCCATTACTAGGGATATCTGCATTTCCAAAGAAGCATTGAGGGTGGTATGTTCTTAATGTCATTTTTGTAAGATAGTTGAAAGATTTGAGTATAGTGGGTTGTTTGAGCCTTTTGCTTATCTGAAAAACCTGACCAGCTTTCTTCTTTCACAGTGCTTCTATCCACAAGTTCAGGCTGATACCAAGAATATTACACAGGAAAGCAGTTCTTTAATTTTTTCCCCTATGTTACTGAGGTTTTTCAGTTCCATGGTTTTGTTCACATTATAATAAACACTGTAAACTCTAAATCGCATCTCTGCAAAGAGAACTTGGAGTGAATGTACCTGAGAACTTTGTAAGGATGTGGTTTGACTTAGTTACGGACTGTCGTGGAGAGAGTGGCCTTGTGTGCCACTGAACATGGAGTTGTAACAAAAGTGTCAGTACGAGGCAATCGAACTAGAGAATGCGACCTAATCTAAGAGGGGTTTACAGAGCAGGTCAGAGAACGTACTAACCCTGAAAAAATTCCAGGGGGTGGTGAGACCTTAGCATTTCCAGTAGGTGAAACTTAGCAGAGTTGTTTATTTTAACCCTTCTGGAGCTTGGTCTTCTGTAGTGTGTTTTATTTTTCAAATGCAGCTTTTTGATTAGTCAACATGTTTACACATGGAACATAAAAGCAAAGTAACCATAGTGCACTGTGTCCCTTAACAACGCCACTAGAGGTCAGATGGTACCCTAATGACATAAACACGTGTGAAAACATTAGAACAAGTGGCAGGGTTACATGGAATAAATTAAACAGACAAAACATTTCGAGTAACACTCATTTTAGGCAAAGTTCTTGTAATAGTAAAAGTTAATTATGTTTCTACTTTTCCTATTTAGACTGAAAAGTGTTTAGGGGTGAATTTTTTTCCCTGGGGAAAGAAAAGGTAAGGAAGGAAAATGGCAAGTTTGGGGTCAGATCCATAGGCTTTGTTGTATGTGTGCCTTTTCTCGGCTGTATTAACAAAGCCCTCAGGAAGTGCCGGGAATCCAACCCAGTTGGGGAAACACTGGGAATTGATAGACTTACCAAAGATTTATTGAGCCACAGTTAAATCACTGGCACTGTGTAGATTTGGGAAGATAAAAAGAGAGAAGAAGACATTTCCCTGCTGTTAGGGAGTAAGGCAAAGTTGTAGTAAAGGCAAAGTCTGTTGGTGGGAGAGATGGATTGCCTACAATTATCTAGAAATGGCCCTGACCTTTGCCAGTAGGTACATATGGCTATTTTTACTATTTTGATTTCACAAACTTTACTGTTCTTCCGAGCTTATGAAGACAGAATTTCTATATTTGTTTTTGTGAAGAATAATCTTGGAAAAATTAGGTTTGGCTTCTGTTGAGGCTCTGTGTCTCCTTATGAATGTGAGGAGTGAATGCCATATTCCTAATACCAGTGAATTGACAAACTCCATTTTCACAGGTGTGGTTACTAATATTTGTAACCCCTGCGTTTATCCTACTCTCCTTGAAGTTCATACTACCTCCCCCCATTACATCTTTCAAATCTTAATTTAAACATTATTTCACTGGGAGCTTAAGTTAGGTCTCCTGTGTGCACCTGTGGCCTTCTACAGCACACTTATGGCGGTTGCCAGTTTATTGTGTATTTTCCACTAGACTGCCAGTTCCTTAAGGGGAAGAAAAATATTTTACCTTGAAACCCCAGGGCTGGAGTTGGGACAGTGTGGATTTGTGTCCTGGGTCTGCCTTCTCTCCTATGCTGTGTAACCTCGGGCAAGTACTTACCTACTCAGTTTTCTCATTTTGTAATGATGCTACCACCTCCCATGATTATGGAGATTAAATGAAGATGTATATAAGAAATGCTTGACAGCAGAGTTATGGCATACAGTATTAAATAGGGTGGGAAACTGAGGAATTTGCTCAAGAGTAAGTAAGTCTGTAACTGATGCTGAGGAATAGGAAGTGCAGTAAAGTCAGACTTCAGAAATTAGGATAATTTTGTCGTTGTACCAGGGCTTTCCCAGTCCCAAAGCCTTAATATGGCTCTTAGGCCTCACAGCGCATAGTCTGGTGCCCGCTTCACTGCTTCTCCAGGCTCACGTCCCCCAGGCTCCTCACCGTAGCAGTGACCTCCCACTGAACTGAAACACTTCTCAAACCTTCAAGGCTTCTGTACCCGCTGGTCCCTCTGCTGGGACCCACCCTGCCACTCTTCATTAGTCTCTAGGTCACAGTGCAAAGGCACTTCCTCAGGTTACATTAGTTTATATCCACTTGTCCCTCCAGGTTAAGTTCATTTGTATCCCTTTAGAGAACCTCTACTTCCTTTTCATCAGACTCCTCATACTTGAAATTAGTTTCTGAAAGTCTGTATGCCTGGCTACACTGTAAACTTCCTGACAGAGATCTCTGCAATTTAAAAAAAAAAAATGTTACTTATTTGAGAGCATGAGAGGGAGGGCAGAGGGGAGGGGCAGAGGGAGAGAGAGTCTCAAGTGGACTTCCCGCTGAGCCACAGGCGGAAGTGGGGCTTGATGCCACGACCCTGAGATCATAACCTGAGCTGAAACCAAGAGTCTGGACCTTAACTGGCTGTACCACCCAGGAGCCCCAAGACCTCAGCTGAGGAGTAAATTAGGGGTTTCTTGATGTTCCCTTAACTTTTGGGACCAGCAAATACTACATTTACTAAAGGACATTTTTGTTTAATGCAGACATTACTTCTGGTTTGTAAAGAAAATACCAGATGGTTCTATTCCCATTTATGCCTATATAAAACATACAGTTTTTATAACTCACATATAAATCTAAGTCTCATATGCTAAAAGTTTACTAGATGAGAATGTTAATTCATACCCGCTTCTCTGCCTTTCTTGCCTCTCACCTTGTCTTTCAGCTGCTGCTGATCCTTGCCTGTTCCAAAGCTAAATATTAGAACCAGACTTTGTGGTTGTTGCTGGATCGTATTAGACTCCCATTCCCTGTTCCTAATTTTATTTATTTATTTCTCCTGTTCCCAATTTTAAAAATCAACTGTCTCCAGAAAGGTAGTTTCTATACCCAGTTTTAAATTAACAAACCTTACCGGTACATTGTTAAACTGCTGCAGTTTCCAGTAGCAGAGGCAAGGGCATTTGGGCAGGAAGTTAGTACAACGGTTTGTTTGGTGGTTTTGTTTTGTTTTGTTTTGTTTTGTTTTGTTTTGTTTTTTGGAAGACTTTCCCTGGATCAGTCGGATGATGTTTATTATTTGGAATGACAGCTTTTACTATAATTGGGTGAAGGCATAGGTTTTGGTTATACTTGCCCTTGCAAGGAATTGCTAGGGAGACTGGTTAGCAGTGCACTTAATTGACCCATTGGAGCCTGCAAAAGCCCAAGCCTTGAGGCAGAGCTATGCCCAGCTCTCCCCACAGAGGTCTCCCTCTGCCTGCTTTCAGACTTAGATCCCAGCCCCTAGCTGCCAGCAGAAACTTTCCTGCTGAAATGGACAGCTCTAATGGCTTAATGTAAATTGGAACATGTGTCATTAAGACTAGGATGCCAGATGGCTGAGGGCTCAGCTGTCCACCAGGATAAGTGGGTGGAGCCAGAGAAATGAAAGGTGGGGGCAGGGAATGCATACAACTCATGTGTTATTTTTAAAACACTTGAAGAAATATGGAGCATTGGCCAGCTTCCTCCCTATCCCAGGAGTACTTTTTTCCCCTCAGCTTGACCCTCCTCCCTGGAGCTTACATTGAAAAAAAAAAAAAAAATCAGTGTTCTTTATTAGTTGCCCCAGCAACCATGGAAAGCCTGGGAGAGTGATTGCAAGAAGGGCTTGAAGGTTCCCTTCCTGGTGTCTGTCTGCAGGGGCTGAGAACCATTCTCATTAGTAATAGCTAGTAGCCTGGGTTCTGTGGCTCATAGCTTGCGGGTGGTGATGTGGGGGGTGGGGCAGGTGGGGGTAGGGAGTTGGGGGGGCTGGCGGGGAAGATTGGCTTTGTTTATTTTTCGGAGGAATGAAACACTTGTAGCCCACACCTTGATAGTGGGAGTGTGTCATAAAATAAAAAAGAATTGACAAGTCAACAATTGGCACTTTCTCATTTAGAGAAGGAAGTAGAATAAACCCACTTCCACCGTAAGCAATAAATGCTGACCAGTTCATTTTGTCTTCATTTCAAAGCCAGGCCTGCTTAGCGACCTCTGAACTGGAAGGAGCTGAGGAAAGGAAGTTAATGCTTTCTGAGGCCGTGTATCTTGTTATATGTGTTTGTCAGAAGCTGGACTGAGGAGGAGGGGGTGGCTTCCTGGAAGACCTTTACAATTTGAGGCGGTAACAGCCAGATTGCCAGGGAGGGTGATTGGGAGGACTTGCCCCAAATTGTCCACTCCTTTTCCCTTTGATCCTAATTTTAGAACCTAGAGAGGTTTGAGGAGGTTTCCTTTAAGTGCTTATTATCTCTGGTTAATTGCGCCCCCCCACCCCACCCCTCTTTTCCAGTGAGCATTTGCAGTGAGTATTTTTCCAGTGTGTATTTGACTTAATAAAGGAGAAAAATCATAATTCACTAACAAATCAACTTAATTTGATTTCAGAGCTCTGGCAGCTCGTGATAGGAGAATACTTAAAACTCCAGAGAGACTGGTGGCATTCCTTTGAAAAAGCTGCCTTTTTTCCTGACTTCTCTTGTTTTATGGACTACGTTAATTAATTTTGTAAGAATTAAGTCTATGAGTATGGTGGTTGATGTGTGCTGAGAGAAATTTCTCTTTAGGAGGTTATTGAAAGTCTAGCTAAAAATGAGCTTGCCATCTGGGGTAAAAGCAGAAGAGAATACACCAAGTCTGTTTTGACTTCCAGTCTGTTGGCTTCTGTGTGCAATGCAAGGCATTGTTTTCTTCTGTAAAGACTTGAATAATCACATTTGCTGGAGTGAAGTCATCTGCTATAAACTTTGAGATGGGCAGAAGCAAGTTTCCTAACATTTCTTCCCTGGGAAATCTGGCTGGGCTTTCTGGAGCTGATAGATAATTCTCATTGTGCTAGGAGAGACCTTCAGAAGACCTAAGATTTGAGGCCATGCTTTCAAGCAGTGTTGGGTCAATTGCAACAAGTTGCCTTTTAGTTGTCCTTTAGCCCTTAATCTTTTCAAGTTAACCATCTGTTTGATGTTGCATTATGTACCTTTTAAAGAAAGAATGAAGTTATATTAGATGTAACTATAATTATATTAGAACAATTAGAGGTATGTTATAAAATTAGTGTTTGTGTCTTGTTGGAATACTGGCAGCTCTTAGCAATGTGACTGCATCATGTTATTTGGAAATGGAAATAATTTCTTGTTTGATTCCTCCTTCACCGAAAAGCCGGCTTGATTTTCCCCAGCAGCTGTGGGCTAGCAAACAGAGGAGGAATATTGCCACTTCGTGGTTTTTGCTTCGTGAATATTGCCAGAGTGTTTATATGGGGGATGAGGTGGGCAGTGTTGGCATGTGGTACACAGACCCAGGGCTTTGTGCTCTTAATCTCCCTGGGAAAGAGGCCCAGAATTCGAAGCAGGAGGGCATTGGGTGTCGCCAGCTTTGTTTGAGAAGCACTTCAATGTGACATTTGTGTCTTAAGAACCTAAGAAATGCTACATTGGCAGAGATCTGGGGCCCGTCCACCATGCATTCTGTCTCTGATAATGGGCACCAAAGGCTGATTTGTGGGAAAGCATTCTTCACGCTGGCAGCTTCCCGGGCTTTGTGACATACCCCAGGCTCTCTGGCTTCCTATAATAGTCCATGGTGGATGTGTTATCCAGGAATTTTTTAAAAATCCTCCTTGAATCTATTCATCCTTGCCAACTCTCAGGGTGACAAATTCCAGAAGTCAGCAAATATTTGAATGCTTAGTTTATGCCTAGCATAGTACTAAGCATTGTAGAAGATACAAATGATGCTTAATACTTGATCCCTACCTTTGAGCTTAGACTTTTTCGAGGAGGCAAGACTCAGTTGCATCTTTCAGGAGGAGATGGGCAGTAGTAATATCTGATCTCACATGGGAATACCAAGCACACCGTAAGTGGATCAAATTCATAGTAACAGAGGTCATAGATACTGAGGTCTAAACACAAAATACCATATTATTAATGAGCAGTTTTGAAAAATGCAACTGTCAGACTTGACACCGTGCTCTCTCTTAATGTGCAAGCCCAGTGGAAAGCCAAAGGATTGAGTCATTGACCATGACAGGCCAGTACAGCCATTTTCACTATACCTGGAAAAAGACTACATGATTTTGGAGCATACTGTTCTAAAGCTGGTAGATCTTTTTCATTTGTGAATACATTCAGCCCTAATAGGCCAGCCCCGTGTTGAAAATGCCTGTGCCTTTCTCTGCTCCGTACATGTTAGGTGCTTCCGAGTTTAGAGCTTAAAGGTAATTGTGCTTTCCTGAATTATTTTGAGAAGGGAAATCCATATTGAGTATTGATCTCTCCCCATATTATACCTCCTACATATGCAGCAGACAGTACAAGACAATGTGGGATGAGGTGCTAAATTAAGACCTCTAGGCTACATGAGCCAGACAGACAAATCAGAAAGAAGAGAGGTCGGTGTGGGATGAAATGCTAAAGAAGGCTTCTGTGTACGGCAAAGATGAGACTTGAATTCTTACTTTAGAAAGTTGAAATTTAGGGGCATTTGGGTGGCTCACTCATTAAATGTCTGCCTTTGGCTTAGTCCATGATTCCAGGGTCTTGCAGTTGAGCCCCACGCTGGGCTCCCTGCTCAGCAGGAAGCCTGCTTCTCCCTCTCCCACTCCCCTTGTTTGTGTTCCCTCTCTCGCTGTCTCTGTCAAATAAATAAATAAAATATTTTTAAAAAAATAGTTGAAATTTAAGAGACTCTTTTTTTTTTCTTTGAAGATTTTATTTATTTATTTGACAGAGATCACAAGTAGGCAGAGAGGCAGGCAGAGAGAGAGGAGGAAGCAGGCTCCCCACTGAGCAGAGAGTCCGATGCGGGGCTGGATCCCAGGACCCTGAGATCATGACCTGAGTCGAAGGCAGAGGCTTTAACCCACTGAGCTACCCAGGCACCCCGAAATTTAAGAGACTCTTAACGATTGAGAACAAACTGAGGGTTGTTGGAGGGAAGTGGGTGGGGATGAGCTAGATGGTGACGGCATTAAGGAGGGCACTTGTTGTGATGACACTGGGGGTCATATACCCCCAGTGCAGTGATGCATTGAATTCTACTCCTGAAACCAGTATTACACTGTGTTAACTAACTAGAATTTAAATTAAAAAGAAAAAAGAAAGAAAGAAAGCACTTAAAAAAAAAAACACACGGCAATTTAGGGAACAGAAGGTAGGGAAACGGGAAGTAGGAGCACAGTACTAAGCATTGTAGAAGATAGAATGATGCTCCGTACTGAGGGCGGAATGCTTTCCTGTTTTGGTTGCCACCCTCCTTCTCAGTGGCACCCAGCTTTCGTCCTTTCTGGCGAGAGTGCGTCAGGCAGTGCGGGGGCTGTGGAAAGCCTGGTCGTTCATCCTGACTCTCTCGGGATCCTCATTTGTGTTCTCCAGGTGTCAGTGTCCATGTCTGTGAAATACCAGCTACCTTGTGATTTTGGTTGTCGTTTGGACTAAGTCAGAGAATGTAGATGAGTGTCCCTCGTGCCCAGTGTGTACGACATTGTCCTGGCGGATGGATTGCCAGCTCACCTGCAGTTCCTGTGCTGGCTGATGGGACCCTTTAGAGAGGGAATATCATGGCTTGCTGACACATAAGCTCAGTATGCCATGTCACACGGTTCTGTCATGCCTCGAGGGCTACTGTGGTCTCCTTTAAATGGTTCCATTTGGCCTTCAAAATCTTAACAAAGTTATTGCCAAATATTTCAGTACTGATCAGTTTAATTTTCTTCATTGTAGGTACGGAATGGCCACATCAAAAGAATCACTGATAATGACATCCAGTCCTTGGTGCTAGAGATTGAAGGAACAAATGTCAGGTAGGCAGTCCCTCTGTTCGCCCAGAGATACTGCGCTGGCGACGCAGTGCATGGTAGGGGTTCATAGAGCACAGACTGTGGCCCCGGTGGGGATCCAGCTCTGCTGCTCACACCTTGCCTTGGGCAAGTTACTAAAGCCCTCAGGCCTCAGTTTCCTCACCTGTAAAATAGGGATAATGGGATTATTGTGAAGATTGAGTAAGTGAATTGTGTGTAAACACATTTAGCGCCTGCTCAGCCCATAGTAAGTGCTGTGGGTTAGTTATATTATTATTAATACTTGACCAAGGCATGTGGACATGCGTGGAGAGGTGGCACTAATCATCCAGCGGGTGACCTGGGCCACAGTGTGGTTTTCCCAGTTATTGTGGTCTTAGTTTGGGTTTTCTATTATTGGATGGCTCCTTAGACCAGAGGGGAGCCGTCTTCACCGGAGGAAATTGCTCAGCTTGCCAGCCAGGCTTTGTTTTTCAGGTATTTTCTTGTTGATGTCTAGCTATGTGTGAAGCTTGTGTTTTGGAGTCCAGTATTTTTTCTTTTTTTTAAAGCATCGGGATTGAGGGGTTATTGGATGATGTGTTTGGATCTTCTAGATCTACTCTCCAGTTTACTTTTGGACCACGTGTTTTTATGGTGTGTCCCACAGAAGAAAAGGCAACCGGTGTGTTTATCAGTGTCTCCTCTCTCTGCAGCACCACATACATCACGTGTCCTGCAGACCCAAAGAAGACGCTGGGGATTAAACTTCCCTTCCTCGTCATGATTATCAAAAATCTGAAGAAATATTTTACCTTTGAAGTACAGGTTAGTAGATGGACTTGTGTATACTCTTAGCTCTACCAGAGGGATAACCTGTCAACTTGCAAGAGAAAGTAGCTCTAGGAAAGTATACTTATTCTTTTGTGTGTCTCTTCTGCCTCTGCTAGACACTTGGTGCAGCCATTATTATTATGACATAAATTTAGTATTAGTAATCAAACTTCAATGCCAAGTTTTTAAAGCAGCAGCAAGCGCCTAGGAAGTCTGAACGATAGCTATGGGATCGCAAAGCTTGAAGGTTAGAGTGTGTCTGTTCACTGCTGGTTATTGTTGGTCTTCGTTGTAGTACTTGTGATTTTTCAAATGGAAGAATGTTTATGAAATCATTCTGTGGTCTGTGGGCCCTCGGCTGTGTCACGTGCCCTAAAGCAGCTGATGTCTCAGCAACTGACAAGATAAACTTGCTGCTTCCGGGCCATCTGCATCCAGTGTGACCTGTATCTGGTCTGTTTATTGTCCCTTGGGCCTCAGCCTGGGGAAACCAGGCTGTGGGAGTTCAGTCCCTTGCGTCACCAAGGTTGTCTCCTTCTTCCAAAGTAGAGTTACTATGGCTCTTTTTCTGTGTTTCATAGGTACTAGATGACAAGAATGTGCGTCGGCGGTTTCGGGCGAGTAACTACCAGAGCACCACCCGAGTCAAACCCTTCATCTGTACCATGCCCATGCGGTTGGATGATGGCTGGAACCAGATTCAGTTCAATCTGTCAGACTTCACTAGGCGGGCGTACGGCACAAATTATATCGAGACCCTAAGAGTGCAGGTACTAGCTCCTTTCCTGATGGAGGCCTGGACAGGAGAGGGGAGTGTGCTCTGCCTGCTGCTGGCTTGTGGCTCTTGTGACAGAGCAGTGTGGCTTTCTGGCTGAGGGGCCCACATCACTGTCCAGAGGGCTCAGAAAGATCCAGGACACATTCAGGGGTCTGCTCAGATATAGTGGGAGAGCATAGCAAGCAAAATATCCCTCTTACCTGAACCCATCCCAAGCCATGCTGAGGAGATGCCAAAGAGAGGAAGCTTTGACAGCATCATGGGAGGGGCTCCAGGAGAAGCAAGAAAAGAGGAAGGCCAATCATACTTTGTTTCCTTTTTTTTTTTTAAAGACAAGGATGTCATACATCCCGCTTTTTTTAAAAAAGATTTTATTTATTTATTTGTCAGAGAGAGAGAGAGCACACAGGCAGAGCGGTAGGCAGAGGCAGAGAGAGAAGCAGGCTCCCTGCTGAGCAAGGAGCCCCATGCAGGGCTCGATCCCAGGACCCTGTGATCATGACCTGAGCCGAAGGCGGTGGCTTAACCAAATGAGCCACCCAGGCATCCCCATATTTTGTTTCTTAAAATAAGTCTTGCACCCACAGATTCATGCAAACTGTCGCATCCGACGGGTTTACTTCTCAGACAGACTCTACTCAGAAGATGAACTGCCAGCAGAGTTCAAACTGTATCTCCCAGTTCAGAACAAAGCAAAGGTAAGAGGGCCTTCCTTGGAGGAGGCCAGATGGTGAGTTGGGGAAGCCGGAAGGTGTGCTCTTTTAAGGTCAGCCGCAGACTGACATGGGGGCTGGAGTACTTTTCATCCTAAGATCTTCCTAAGGTCTCCTTCCACCATCACCACTGAATCAGGATCAGTCCTGTGAAATGTTTTGTTACTGCTGTCCCCACCTCCGCAAGGTGGTCCTGCTCCTCCCTGCTTCCTGCTCATAAGCCTTCCTTGGAGAATGTCTTCCATCCGAACCTCTTCAGTGGCCCACTGGTCTCCTCTGACAAAATGGCAGCCGCTCACATGCCTGACTGCTGCTGAACATTGTGCATTTCCGCACAGCCCGGTGTCCCCTGCAGTGTCACCAGAGTCTGGAGGGGGGGTGTTTCGTGTCATTGGCACTGTCCATCTATTTTCTGATAACTTAAACTGATGCTTCTTCTGTTTGTTTCTTTTTCTCCAGCAATAACTGGAATGCAACTCAAGGGATAGCCCCTGGACATGGCTCTTAGTTTAAAAAGGAAACTGTCTGGAGGACAATGCAAAAAAAAAAAAAAAAGGAAAAAAAAACAAATATTTCTATTAGTTTACTGTGCTGTGGTTCTTTTATCTATTACTTGGTGTCCCCTGTTGTGGACACCAGTGACCATGCCATAATGCCATAATTGCATTGTAAGTACAGTGAGGAATAAGCCGTCCTTTGGAACATGAACAGTGGAGTTTATCCTGCTGCCTGCCTCAGTGTGTGGGGAGATACACTTACCACGAACTTACAGATTTAAAGATGTCCCGTAAGGCAACTTCAGACCAATATTTCTTCCTACGGTTTATTCATTGTTTTATATATTATCTAAATATATGTATATGCTGTGTAATACTCCTAATCCAGAAATGAATAAAATACTATATTCTTGGTTTGTAAATTTGTTTTTAGTTTATTTTTTTAAATATATTTTTTTCCTTTATGTTGTGAAGATAGAACTCTTTCCAAAGAATATTCCCTACACTCTTGCTCTGGAGTAGCTTGCAGTAAGCACATAAAGAACAAGACAGATCTGTAGATACTGATGCAGAGCAACTCCCAAGATAAACTAAATGGAAAAAAATTTGCCCAGCATATGACAGTAGAGTCATTTTACTAGGGTTTAGGGCCCATGTCAAGCTTAAGACAAAGTGGCATCTAGTCTAGATGGCTCTTTTTTTTTTTTTTTAGATCTTTTTATTATCTATTTATTTATTTTCTTATTTATTTAAGAGAGAGTGGGTGGGGGGAAGCAGAGGATGAGGGAATCTGAAACAGACTGAGCTGAGTGTAGAGCCCGAGGCAGAGCTTGATCTCACGACCCTGATATCACGACCTGAGCCCAAATCAAGAGGCAGACAGTCAACTGAGCCACCCAGGCCCCCCGCGAATGTTCTTAAATACTCTAGGAAGTTTTCGTACTGGAGCTGCACATGCTGTTCTATAACAGCACGCCCAGTGTCTCTCAGCCTGGCAGCCACTCCCCATGTCCCTGTGTGAGCTCCAGATGAAGTGCTTGCCTTGGATTTAGTGACTTAGAAGAAAAGTGTTTCTTTAAACACTTGAATCACATGAGAACTGAAACCGTACCCTACTTTCCCTGCTCACACTTCTTCTTGGGCATATGCTTGGTTAGTGGCATGACAGACCCTGGCACAAATAGTTAAATTTAGAAAAATGAAATACTTAGATGATGTAGCTCTACCCCATGCAACATTTCTGGGGAAAGCAGTCTGGGGGCAGAGAAGGGCATGTGCAGATATACCTGGTCTTGAGGGATACAGCAGAACTACTCCCGGCATCCAGAGAGAATAGTTACTGTAACATGTAGGATTCTTGTACGATTAAAAAAAAAAAGGTTTTTGAAAAGTAATATTTATGTAACAATTTCCAAGTCAAGGAAAGAACAGAAGGCCATCCTAGATCCCGTGCTCGCCCCAGGGAACCCCCCCAGATTCAATTCTGTTTCACAGGGACGGCTCTGGAGTCGTGGGCACCAGCCATTTTGACTTCGACGAGGTAAAAACAGCGCTGACTTTGATGTTGCCATTGCCACCTTCTGTGAAGTTAAATGGCAAGAAGCATCATTCTTCCACGTCCTCATCCTCCAGAGCGTGCTGTGGGTAAGCACCGTGTCTTGGAGGCAGCCGGGGGCAGGGGGCTGCGTTGGGGGGGTAGAGTCTGGAGGGGAAGGGGCTCCACCACTGCCTCTCATGCCTCACAGAGCTTCACTTCCCACAGTTGCCGAGTAGCTGGGTCACTCAGGACAACTTTGCCCTTTTCTTTCCCTGCTAAGAATGAGACGGGAACCACCTTTCTCATGGATGCCTCCTCTCTGACAGACACCAGTGGGTCACACAGAGGGCCATCCGCACAGGTGACCGGGCCTCTTCTTTCACAGCTGAGTGTCATCCCGCTTCTCCATCCTTAAACATACTAGCAGTGCCATTGTTAGACTGCGTGGGCCTGTCTCCTGAACCTTCGGGGTCACATTATGGTTGGAATCCTCAGAAGTGGGTGGCAATGGGGTGGCCAGGGACCGCAACAGAATTTCTTGTCTCTGCTCACTGTACAGTGAAATCTTCCTTCCAATATGAGGTCTATTGTGGAATGAAAGATGCTTTTGTGGAGACGAGAGACCCCGGTTAACTTTCCGTCACTCTTCAGTGCCAGGCCATCAGCGAAGTGCTCCTGGAAGTCCAGAGAAATACAGTAACACACTCTCCTCCACACAGAGCCCCTTTCACCCCGAGGCACTTGTTGGACTATGTATGGGGATTACCTCACCTCCCTCTCGGGTGGAAGGCGGCAGCTGTTGACTTCCCAGATGCTTTACATATCCATCCGAGAGGAAGTGAGGGGGCGTTGAGGGTGATTGGACGTATTATCTAAGCTGGACTCAGGCCACTGTGAATCGTGGCACCAATGACTGCAACGCCCCTTGCCCTCGGCCTTGCAGCTCACCAGGAAAATGGCGACACCCAGTTGTGAGGCTGAGGGAAGGAGGAAGGGACAGGCCACGAGCGTTAGCAGCCTCCTTCACAGTGCTAGGGCCAGAGTGACCTTAGATGATAGAAATTGAAGCAACCAGAGTTGCATTATGAAGCTCCTTGGAAGTCACAGTGTGTGTTAGAAGGAATCGCTTTCCAAACAAGAGTGTTAGTTAATTGTCATGAACTCGTTGGTATAGGTGGGCAACCACTCCCAGCAGGACTCATCTTGGCAGAGAATGGATCCCTTATTTGCCACTGGCCCATTGAATGCTTTCCCTGTACCAGGCCAGCCCCCTCCTGGGGCACTTCTCAGGAAGACAGGTGTGCCAGAGAACAACCTCCAAGCTGATTTCCCCAGCACCCCAGCAGCTTTAGCCAAAAGTCTCAAGGGTCAGGGAATTCACTGAGAAAGATCTTGGTGCTCTCCTTGTCTAGCCCTCTGTTCCTCCATCTACTGCTAAGGGCACCGTAGCCCAGAGAGACACGGGCTAGCCCCTCAAATACTGGCAGGGATGGAACCAGAACCTGGGTTTCCTGACTAGAGTCCTGTGCTATCCCTGTCCTGGCGTTGGTGGCCCCCTGCCTCCTGTGCGGCTGGCTGTGCCCTTTTGGTAGAGGGCAGTGAGAAGTCAGAGAATCCCTCCAGGTGGCTGAGCCAGGTCAGAATTGGCTGCTGGAAAGAGCTCAAGGACCATACTCAGCTCTGCCTTTGTGACGAGGGCTGGCCTGGTTGTCACTTCACAAATGCTTGTTAGCGGACCTTCGGCTACTGAGGCTAAGAGTATGAACCGACAGGGGTAAAGGTCTGTGTTTCACTAATGGGTCACAGAAGTAGCCCCTGCTCATGGGAAGTTTAAAGCACACAAAGAATATGAAGGAAGATGGAAGTCCCAGTTTCCATTTCTGAAAACGTTTGAAGGGGCGAAGTTTTAATTATTTCACATGCATTTGTGTTACTGAATTTTTGCAGCACGGGAACAGGCCCTATTACTCTCATTTTACAGATGAGGAAACCAAGGCACAGAGACGAACATGCAGGAGCTGACACAGTGATCCTGTTGCTGGCAGAAGCTCACAGGCTCTAGAACCCCTGCGCCGGGCTCTTAAATCACTCAACGTCTTTGACCTGCTCTTTCCTCCTCAACAAAAGGCCAGATGGAAACACTTACCTCAGAGCCGGGATGCAAGAGAAGCCCACGAACGACAGGGGCGGGCGAGGTGGGGGGGTCCCATCAGTTGTGTTGTTTTTGTGCTGTGGAACACAACACAGCCTTGAAAAGGGACATAGAGCACCTAAGTGCAGCAACACAGGGAGCACAACCACCACACACAGTGCACACAGCAAGGAAGTGAGATGTAATGTGGTAGGAACGGGCCCACTTCTCTCTGATGTTCAGATAAGCCAAACAGTGCACTGGAGGTACTGAGGACCAGCCATCGCTAGTGACAGGCAGGGGACTGAGTACCTCCAAAGCAGCAGACTGCTTTACAGGGGTGGGGTGGGGGCAGGCATGATGGGAGAGGTGCTGCCAGGGACTTCCAAGGGCCACCGGGGCTTTATTTCCTGACCTGGGCGGTTGTTTGCACACGGATATTTGCTTCAGTACAATTTGAATTACATGCACTGTTGAATACACCCTTCTGATTATATTTCTCATTTTTAAAAAGGTCAAATTTAGATTACTTAGCCCTGGCCTATTAATATTAAAATGCAGGCTCTTGGGGCCCAGCTCATTAAGATGCAGATTCTCCCGCAGTTGATCTAAATCTGGCCCAGAAATCTGCATGTGAACACCTTCCCCTGGTGATTTTTGGTGTTTCTGTCACTGGAGAAGCTGCTCCAAGTTGGAGTGAGCAAGAATTGAGTGCAGAGAAGCCCCATGCTGGAAAGGAAGGAAAGCATAAAGCAAAGCACCCCTCAAGTTTAAGTTCCTTTTATGCAAAATTCTAGTATGTCACTTACATCTCTGCCCCTTTTCCAGAACCTGGAAATATGGAGTCCTATAATGCAAACCACCGGTGCCTCTGGGCTGTGGCAGAGGCCCTCTAGATCATAAATCCACAAGGCACTGAACAGCTGGATGGAGCACGAGCCTTGGAAAAATTGTGCCTCTTGGTATCCATGGTGTCTGAAGCAAAGCAAAACAGTGTGCGAGGGGTGGGATATGGAAGCATGTCAGCCAGATCCTTTTATTAAGGGGGCAGAGAATGTCACCAGGAGCCTCTGCTGTTTCAGTGCACGAGGGGAATAAAGATGAACAGGGACTTCTGTGAGTTCTCTCATCACTTGTCCGCCACCCCCCCCCCCCGACTCTTCCACAATGTCTTCAGTTGTGAACCCTCCCAGTAGTTGGGTAGGGATGCAGGCACTAGCGTTAGGCGCCTTTGGAAGGGGCCTTCCAAGACGGCTCTCATGTTCACTTGAAGTCTGAAGAACAGAATCCTTCCAAGCCTCTTTTCTTGGTGTTGGAAACCTACCAAAGCCAGCACGACAGGTTCCTGGTGACTGCCGAGGACCGCCACCTGTGAGAGC